ATAAGAAAACAATTAGAGCATAATTAATCACATGTATGACCAGAATTTCAACTCTTCGTAAGGAGTGATATCAGGCCGGGAAACGCGAAATTCTATACGTTTACGTATAGGCTTGAAAACAAAGCATCGCAAGATGTTTAATTGGTTTCGCCGGTCGGTCTCTGTGTGAAATCTCATTAGTCTGGGTGCTCGTATTCACTGACATGCTTCTTGTCCGCGGCATGATTTCTATACAAGACGCGGTGTCGAAGGCGATGACGACGCAAAGGTTCAGAAGTCCATTGTCGATCGATACGAAACGATTTGCGAAATATCGGCGGAAAAACAAGTCGCGGGTGAAAGGGCCGAGAGAAACTGGAACACGCGAAAGATCAATGACTTACCCTAGCTTTTTCAAGTTGATTGAGGGCCTGCCTCTCCTTCTCACGACGCAAGCTCTCTTTCTCCTCGTCCAGCGAGAGATCTGAGCTCGGCTGCGAGTAGTTCGAGTCTGCCGAACCCTGAAAAATGCAATGTGGTGTCGATTAAATCGCGCACGAATAATGAATCGTTATTCAAAACTTATTCTTGTGCACGAAGTTTTCTTCGATTTCTGTAATAGACTAAAGTAGAATTATTAATTGCATATTCAAAATATTGGTGTATATAAGTATGTATTTATTAATCGTTCTTGATATTAATTATTTGTAATATATATATATATATATATATATTCTGTGTAGTATTAAACGTAATGCAGTATTAGATTCTACTTAGAGAAAGAAATTTCATTGCCTTTGAAATTTATTTATTTACAAACACTTGAGCATCACATTCTAATTTCGTTAATTGCTTGCATTTTGGACACAAAATGAGATAATAAAGTACAGTAGAATTGAATCATAAGATTATATTTGAAGAAACTATTTATTAGGCGTTAAATGCTATTAAGTAGAAAGAGACAGTATGTGGTCAGACACGGTTCATTCCCCATGCGTTGGCACTCTATAAAAATCAGTAAACGCTGTCTGACTTTCAGGCTATATTAAACGTCAGCTGAAGTAAAATAACGATCATTGACTTGTATGATGCATCTTCTAGAGCACTGCCAAAGTTTGAACAGATCTAGGCCAGAATTACAATATGCTATAGCGTATAATTTGACGTTCACTTAATGAGATGTCTAGAATAGCTCGGAACGGATTAAATTAACGACGAGTAGTAATCGTGACAAAAATTAGCCTTCTGTCTTTGTATATATACGTGAGATGAAATTTGTTGCGTCAAATGCGAAACGTCCGACGGACGTATTACGAACAGCTTGTAACGTAACCGTCGGTGACAACATGGTAAAATAGGGATCATCGATGTTCAATTAATTCCCCTGACAAATTAATTGGATCGATTACGTCCGACGGGTTGGAAGACTTATCGATGTAGCATGTTAGCGAACGACACCAGAACAAGAAAATTATACGCGGACCAACGCAATTTCTAACAAGTTTTATCGATCACGACCGACGACGCTGACGCATCGATTCATCGTTTAAACGCGACAAGTGGATTTCATCAGTTCCGTAATTAGATAGTTAATTGAATGCAAAGAATAACCAGGAGGTGATATCGCGTCACTTAGCCGGCCATTCGATTTGCATTTCAACGTATCGCAAGCGACGCCAAGGCGCCCTTGGTGTTTAAGAAAAGAAACGAGGAAAGTCGAAGGATCTTTTATGAAACGATTCCTCCGCTGGTGCTTTTTCGACCTTTCTTAAAAGGGATTCCCTCTTTTCTTCTTTTTACTGAGACGATGAATTCGTTCGGTCGAGGGTTGTAGCCATGCCAACGGCCTTTACTCAATCATTTCTCTCTCTCTCTCTCTCTCTCTCTCTTTCACTATACCCTGTTTCTTGTCGTGTAAACTTGTCTATGCGTGCCATAGCGGCCTTCTTCAACCCTCTGGGGGAAGCGCGAGGACTACTCTTGGACGACGGTCGCACGAAGAATTTTCATATTAGGAACTTTTAAGCCACCGGGTAAAATGAATTTCTACATGCGTAATACACTTCAAAGCAAAACTAATTTATTTTAAAATGCGAAAGAATATAATATGCAATATCTACAGAATTTATTGAAACGAATCATGGATGCGTATAGAATATTGCTCAGAATTTTGTCAGTTTTTCAGTTTTGCCATGACACGGTGCCTACTTTAGAACCTCTAGATGGAAAGTTCCGTGCCAAACTTATGTGTTATAAACGGTGATTGAAACCAGACAGGCAAACGATGGTTACCAGAGAACACAGCGGAATAGCGCAAACAAAGTAATAAAAAGCCGACACGTATATGGGTGTATAAAAGAGGAAAAAAGTAAGTGTCTGTGGAACAGAAAACGGCAACACGGGGCAACGAAGCATACTCGAAACGCTCCGTTTCACGCTCAAAATGTACAACAGATCGATTTAGATTGCGACGCAAAGGATCGAGGTTCTGCGACGATACCACGCCCGGACGCTTTTATTTTACGCCAGGTTGATTAATTTAAAACTTGTATGATGCATCGCAAAGCGATATAGAAAACTGTTTATAGAATCTAGAGAAAACTGATGATGAGGACGCATTGTACTCTCGCAGGCTTCATACTCTGTTCCCTAGTTGACTAATTTATTTTATATAAGGAGAACGATTCATTGATACTTTTTATGAAACGTCTTATTCTCTTTCAACTTTTTCCACATTTATATTAAATTAAAAAATAATAACGATGTAGAAACTAAAAAAATTATCCTTTCTTAGAGTACAAACAAAGGTTATTGTCAGAATGCGAATTTACATATGCTTATTTTACAT